GGGGGGGGGATGGCCACGTTGCAGTCCCTTCTCCTCCATTCTCCTCTTGGGATCTTGGGCATGCATGCATACGTGCCTGGCATGAGTTTAAGCCACTGGGTCCAGGACTTGAACCATAATCAACTACACGGGAGTCCAGCGACATAGCCATTACACCAACTGCTGGTCCCTCTTTTGCAAATTTTCTTTTTCCTTTTTTTTTTTTTGGAGAGTTTTTTTTACTATAGGGCACATGCACTTGCCAGAAAGACAGAGAGAGATCGAGAGACAGAAAGCGAGAAATCACCCCCCGGGAAGATGGCCATGCTGCAATCCCTTCTCCATTTTCCTCCCGGGATCTTGGGCAAGCACGCACATGCACCCGGCGTGAGTTTAAGCCACCGGATGTGGGACTTGAACCACGGTTGACTACATGGGAGTCCAGCAACATAGCCATTACATCAACTGCTGGTCCCATCTCTTTTACAAATTTTCTAACACTAAAACTATTTATTAAACATTCTACCTTTTTTCCATTGTTCTAAAACACTCATTCTCTTATATTAATTAAACTGTTATATAATATATTTGGGGATTTTTGTCCTTCCCTATGGTATAGTATAAAAAAAAACTTCAATTATATCACTTTTTTCTATAATTTGATATATGAAATGGATTTTCAATAGCTTTTTAAAAAGAATTATTTTATTTAATGTTATTATTTTTTAATTTGACCAGAGAGATAGAGAGGAGAGAAGGTGAGAAAGCAAGCCGCCAGGTCTGGGACCTGAACTGAAGTCAGCCATGTGAGAGTCTAGGGTCCCAACCATCGTGCCACCTGACAGCCCCTCAATAGATTTTAAAACTATCTCTTTATTCTCATTAGCTTTTGTCAAACTGATTTTACCAAATAAATGTTCTTATCATTTCATTACCTTCCAAGAAAATGCAGTTGAGGGTCTTACTTAGATTGCCCTCTTTTATTTATAAAGTGGAAAGCATTAATTAATAGCTTTATAACCAGAAATATAATTTGTCTTTTTACTAATTCGAGTATTTTTTTATAGCTCACAAGAAATAATATTTTAAAGATATGTCTGGTATTATATAATTAAGGAGTAGAAAAAGATAATGGAGAAGTTGGGGCCAGCAGATGGCGTAGTGGTTAAGAGCACTAGATTCACATGGCTGACTGCGGTTCAAGTCCTGGATCTGGTAGCTTGCTTTCTCACTTTCTCTCTTTCTGTCCGTCTATGGTCAAATTAAAACAAATAAAGATAAATACAATAATCATAAAAAAAGACAATGGAAAAGAGAGTGACTCCAGAGTAAGACATGCAAACACACACACACACCCACACTCACACATACACATACATGCTTAGACATATATACAGAAATATATATTTATATATATATGAGAGAGAGAGAGAGAGAGAGAGAGATATAACCAGGCTTAAGTTCTGTCTGATCTTGGGGAAGATAGTCTGCTTTCAAAAAGCATAGCATGTATCCAGTAAATTCTAGCTACGATTACAATTTATGTGCCTGGTACTTGACATTTTACAAAGTATTTTTATGCGTATTATATCTCAGTCTGCTTGATAGTCACAAAACCCTGGATGAGATATGATAATAATGTTATCATCACTACTAGTATTAAGACCAAAATATATTTTTTAATAAAAAACACAAGGTTGTCCATATTATCATGTTATTTGTAAAAATAGATCATCTATAGTAAACAGTAAAATTGCTCCTGAAAATTTATAAAAATATTTTTAAAATTCATCTTCCACTTTCACTATATTTCTAAATATATTTCACTATATTTTCTAAAGACTTCGGCTTCCTTAAAAGGAACACAGCTAATTTTAGTGTATCTATTTCATGTTCAACAGTTATTGAGTACTTTATCACCCCTAAAAACCATGTTTGAATTTTTTTTAAAAAAATTATTTTATCTTAACTTTCTTTCTTTCTTTCTATATTCTTAATTTGATCAGAGAGGGGCATAGCAAGAGCAAGAGAGAGACAGAGAGTGAGTGAGAAAGGCAAGGCATCAAGTCTGGTACTGAAACCACAATCGGCCATTTGGAAGCCCGGCCTCAACCGCCATGCCACATGCCGGCCCCTGAATCTTTTTTTTTTGTCATTATTGTTCTTGCCACATTTCCGAAATAAATTCTACATTATGGAGTTATAGACTAATAAAATCAGTTAGTTGAAAATTCAAAACCAAGAGCATTCATCTATAAGCCGCTGTAACGAATTAAATCTTCCTATAGAAAACATAAGTTCAAAAATGAATTTAAGTGAATTTTAGTTGCTCTTGTCAAACACAGAAAGTACCTATCTGGGATGATAAATAAGTTAATCTCTTCCACTGTTGTAATCACATTACGAGCTATATGTGTCCTATAGCATCAGGCTGTAAACCTTGAATATACACCATAATATTTGTTTTAAGACGAGATTATAGTCACTTCCCTTTAGTTTACAGGTTGAATTACTTTAAGAATGTTTCATATCAGTCCTTTGAACTTCACATTACCTTTCCAGACAGAGGACTGATGTTATAATATGGCAGGAAAAGGAAAAAAAAAATCAAAACCTTAAAAAAAAGTTTTTATACTATTGATGGGCTTTTCCATCTTATCTTTGGGAAAGAGAGAGTAGAGAGACGGGTTGGAGGCGGCAGGCTGCATTCACCGTGTGCTCAGGGGAGTTCTGCTGCCTTGACCTGGCTCCTTAGAGCATGGCTGCCTGAATTCCTTCTTATCATGGCCTAGACCATCTGTTCTGTTCTTTTTTATTCCCTCCCACCACACTGCTTCAGTTATGAGAGGCTACGTTATTTGAATCTGGATATTACGCTCTCTCTTTCCTCCTGTGTTTTCGGAGCATTCACTGGGCACTTCCTTGGAAAAGTAATGACAATAACATGTCATTATTTTACCACATCCAGTGATTTACAGGATGAAATAATTTACTGCCCAACATAATCTAAATAAAGAAATCCGCTGCATTGCCTCAACAATATTTCATTTGTAGCTCATTATTTATGTATTTCATTGATTAGAAAAATAATTTTAAATATAACCAACGCTAAAGGTAAAAAATAAAAGTGACCAAGATGGTGCCATTATTTTTGCTGCAGAACCAGACCAGCTCCAGGTGCGATGACAGTACTCACGGGTGAAATGATTAGAAGTAGATGGGTTGACGCTATCCCCACTGTCAGCACTTTCGCTGCTGGAAACGTCATCATCCGATTCCCGCACAGAGGAGCAGGGTGAGGAGCCGTCAACTTCTTCAAACTTCCTCTTTAAAATTCCACTCATCGCTGCGGCGCTGTCACATGTACCTGTAACAGGAGCAGCGAAGCAGTGAAATATCTGACCAGTGAATGTGTAGGTCTCCAGAGTCATCTTTATGTGGCTTTTTATACGGGAAATAAACTAAGCTTTCCCTGGGAAGGATCACTAAGCAATGTTTTATTCTATTGGAAAACGAACAAAAATAAAATTAAATTAAATATGAGTATTTGCCTATTTTGTTACCAAAGTGTTTTCGGGTTTTTTCGAAAGGTTTTTTTTTTTTTTTTTGCTATAGGGCATGAGGGCATGTGTGCTAGCCAGAGAGATAGAGAGAGACCAAGAGACAGAAAGTGAGAAATCACCCTCCAGGGGGATGGACATGCCCCAATCCCTTCTCCTGCATTCTCCTCTTGGGATTTTGAGCACACATGCACACGCGCTTGGCGCGAGTTTCAAGCCAAGGACTCAAACTATGGTTGACTACAAGGGAGTCCACAGATATAACCATTTCGCCATCTGCTGGTCTCCCGAAGTGTTTTGATGTTTTGAGACATACTTCATTTTAATGTAATACCACTATTCCTTTCTGCTGACAAATTAAGATGATCTACTGAGTCCATAAAACTTAATAAAGAAAATGCATACCCATACTCCCCAAAGTCCTAAATGAAAACTACATTATGTAAAATTTGTCTGGAAGAAACACCAAAAAGTATGTAAAATCTTTGTATTCAGGATTTTAAAATCAAGTAACTTATTTAGCTGAACACAACAGAACATATGGAATTGGTTCTGAATTTTTGGTAGTTTCCACTTCAAGGTATAGTGAACTGTGTCCCCTTGCCACCTGATTGCTACAGCTATGGTCACTTTTCCAGAAACCTCCTAGGGCTATTTACCCTGGAAGATACATGAATCAAATGGGAAGGGGTGGGGTGGAAAGTAGATATGGTTTCTTCTAAATCACTTCTTTTTAGATGAATGGATTTTCCTCTTTCCTTGAGTTGTCCTTTCTCCATCTTCCCCATTTTACCTTACATATGCACAGTCAGCTAAAATACATAAACCTTCATTGCAGTGTAAGGATATTTTAGTGAATAAACTATATATAAACTAGCTTAGATATATGTACATGATCTCAGATTGCTAAATTAGGTTAACATAGCTGAAAAGTATTACTAAGGCAATGCCATACATTTTATCACCCACTTCATTTGTATCAGCAGATTTTAACTCTCATCTGCGTTCTTTAAGTCATTTTCTCCTTTTCCTGCCAAAGTACAGCCATCAGCCCTACAGATCAGGAGGAAGCATGACCCTTAAAACCATTCTGGAGTCCACTAGTTATCTCCACACAGCTCCCCTTCTCTGTGCAGATCGCAGAGCAAGCAGCCTGCTCAAATCCCCTGGGCTGGGTCAGCTCTTGAAGGTTTCATTCAGTAGTTTCCCGAGTGTGCTACCTGGATCAGCAGCAGCCCCTGAGTGGTGAGTGGTTATACCTGCAAGTTCTCAGTTCCCACCCAAAGTATACCAAGTTAGACAATCTCAGGAGAGAAGGCCCAGCACTCTGTACTTTATAATGCTCCAAATCAGGTGATTGTGAGGTATACTCAAAATCGAGGACCCACTAGCTTAATCTCTAGTCTGTGCTTCAGGACCTCCCTCCCTGCATTTTGCTTTCCTTGTATGTGTCCACACACCAGCCCAAGACAGTGACATGACTCAGCATTCAATTCCCAAACTAAATCTCTCCTTTAGCTATCCCTGGTATGACTTCTTGTAAGATTGAGTACAATAGTAGATGTCTTGTAAGTATGTATTCACACATGTAAGCACATGTTGAGTAACTAGTGTATGTGTGCTTGACTACTTAGAGTAGGGATACAAAAGAGAAAGCAAGTTGCTTGCCCTCAAGGAGCAAGCAGCCACTGTGTTTGTCTCCATCAAATTGGGAATACTCTCAAAGTCATGTTCTACTCTCTTATTTTATTAATCCATGTCTTCAGTATGATAATTATATTAACAATGGAGATAGCTGCTAGCAATAGGAAGATTTATTACTGTCCACTCTTTTGAAGATAAAATCGGTATTCTGATTTTGATTTTACCACTATTTTGATTAGCATATTATTTTCTCCATCTTAAAGAGCGTGAAATGCATAAAATGTTCATGCATATCTGAGCAGGGTGTAGAGAAAAAAAAAGATATTTTAAGTAAAGTCTTGAAATAAAAGTAGGACAAGATATACATTTTAAAATGGTTTGCTTCAAACAAGATGCAAAGTAATTCATGAGGGAGAGACTAAGATACAGAGTAACAGGAGCTGGAAGCCTATGTTTAAAAAGTGCATTCTTATAATAAGATATTGCAGTGGGAAGAGTTAAAAACTATGTCCTTCTGAAGCTCCACTTCCCCTCCCTCAACTCCTCCAATTTCCTTAGCTAAGGCAGGTTTTTCAAGATCAAGAACACCCAGTTGGGTTATAGGAAATCGGGTCCCATCATCACGAAAGGTGACGAGGTGATACTTTGTACTCTTTCTGTTTTCTCAAAAATGAAAGGACATTTTTGGAACAAAAATAAGAGAATTAACATCTCCCTTTTTTTTCCTTTAATTATTACATTTGGGACTGGAAAGACGAAACAATGGAGTTGAAAGTAGGGTGTAATTTCTGTCTAGATTTTAGAACTGAAAGAGCCTATGGTAGATTCATATAAAAAGAAGTAATGAACTAGTCACTTAGGGTGATGTCCAAGTTGGAAATTGAATATTCAAATATGTACAGTACACAAAATCTAAGCATATGCCAATGAGCTAGTTAAGTGCCAAGTTGCTTGTGCAGCAATGAAGCATACACCTGAGTAGTTTCACTAGCTTTTTATTTTTACTTATTTAATTTTTCAGAGAAAGAGAGAGAAGCATCCCCAATATGGCTTCCATGCTACAACCTTCTCCCAATCTCTGTCAGCCTGGATGATGGGCACATCTGTGTCTGAAGTGTTCAGGGAGGTCTCTGGACATAAACCCAGAACCTTCCTATGTGGTCAGCCTCAAAAAGTGTTATCACTGTGCCATAAACCATCACCTCATTGCCTTTAAAAAAATACTGTGTGAGTATAACAACATGTTTTAAGAAAATACACATGGCCTGTTGCTTACCAGTAGCCTTTAGATTTAATAGTGGAGTGCTAAAGGAAGATGATGTAGTTTTCACCTACACTAACTATATGATTTTATTATTGAGAAAAAAGAATTCAAGGATTTAGGGAGAAGTATCTGTAATAAAGCAGCGTGTGCTCTGTGTTGGTTCTCAGAATTTGAGAATGACAATAGTGGCTGACTAGAAACAGATCCAGGTGAGGAGAATGAATGCCTGTCTTCAAGGAACCATAGTTACTTAATCAGTCCTTATTACATTTTTGCTTGTAAAGAAGGAACATAATTAAAAATGGTTGATATAAAATCACCGGAAAAGTGCTAAACATTTCAAATTGGCTTTATATAGCACCAAGGCTAAAGAACAAAAGATAAAATTTGACAAACATTAATTTAGTCTAAATACGAGAAGCTGAAAATGTATCAGCCATTTTATTACAGGTTCCATTGTCCAATTCATGAAGCCCGTACTAGTCCAGGGCACCACCCTATTTCACTTGGACTAGGACATGAACTTTCAAATTACTCTCTCCCATCCACTGCTATTACCTTTCTCTGTGTTTTCCAGGTTGATACATTTAGATGCAAATCTGATCATGTCAGTCTATATCTTGAAACTCTTGGGTTGCTTTGGATTGCCTTAGGAAGAAGTTCAGAATCCTCAAAATGGTTTATAAAGTCCTTAATAATCAAGCTTGGCTAATCTCTTCATCCTCATTTTGAGCCTCTGGCCTTGTCATGGACTTTTCAGCTCTCATAAGCTCTTAGCTCTTCCAAGTTGTCATGTCTTTTTGGCCTCTCTGCTATTTGATATACCATTCCTTCTGAGCTAATTAAAAAAAAAATTCCATATCTAAATACATGTTATTTAGTTTTGTATTCCTGTTTACTATTGATTGTTTTCATTCTCTGATAAAGGATATAAGGGCAGGGATCTTTGTTTTCTCTATTGATGTTCCAAAGGCCTGAAATAGTGACTTGACTGTAACAGGTGCTCAGTAAGTATTTGTTCAATGCATGAATAAAATCTTTTCATTTTCATGAAGGTTTTAAGTATGTTTATGAAAAAGTAGTAGACAATTTTAAATGTCTCCATCTTTCTTCTAATAAAAATATTGATAAATGTATGATACTAAATTGTGTTTGATTATAATTATTTCCTTTAATATATCTGTGACTTACTGGAAACGCACATAAAAGTATCTATTGGAAAAATCTGCAGATGGTGTAGTGGTTAAGGTGTTGAACTCCCATGTAGTCAACCATGGTTCAAGTCCTGGACCTAGAGGCTTGAAATTCACGCTGACTGTATATGTGTGCATGCCTAAAATCCCGAGGGAAGAATGAAGAAGAGATTGCAATGTAGCCATGCCCCTTGAGGGTAATTTCTCTTTTTCTGTCTCTCTGTTGTTCTTTGTCTCTCTGGCAAGCACACGTGTCATATAGCAAAAATCTCTCTGTCAAAATAAAGTATCTATTGGAAGCCAGGAGGATGGAAAATGATAATGAGGAGGAGAATTTGGCTAAAAGTGTCAAATCAAGAAGGTGAATAAAAACATACGTGTCAATGCCTTTGAAAGAATGGCTTAAGTTAAACTTTGGGTATATGTAAGAAGCTTGTTCATTTCACACTTCTTCATAGTCTAAAAAATTCACAGCTTTCATAAGTAACTCACTGAGTTCTTATTATACCACTCATATTTATCTAATGGGTATCGTAAGAAAATGACCTCAGGAAATATGCTTTAAGGATGTTTTCAGTCCTCTAATTATGAAGATCAGAGTTTCTGACTTGCAGAAACACAAATTTAGAATTGCCAGATTTAGCAAATAAAATATTGAACACCCAGTTAAATTTAAATTTCAGATTGAAGGTATGAATGACATTTG